CCCAAACTGCTTCCCAACCAAAAGCCTGCCCCTTTTTAGACCAGGTAAAGCGATTATAGGACGTTGCCTCACAATGCGGTTGGAAAGAAGTTTTAACTATGATGGAAATAGGCAAAAGACCGGGCTGAATAGATGCACCAAGAAAATGGATAGAGAAGTAGGTTTGCCCAGGCATAGCACGTTTAACCTTTCCTTCTGGCTGGAATGAAGTAAGATGGGAATGTTGGCAGACGAGAAAATGGGACGGCCTAGGTAATCTCGTGAAGGCGATGGAGATTATTTCCAGCAGTTGGCCTCGTCTCCGCTTAAAGTAGGCTTGTCCAAGGTCTCCTCCACCCAACAAGACGTCCGAATGGCTCTTCTATATTCAAAGATAAAATAATATTTTTCAGGCCTTTAAAGGTCTGAATGCTTTACCACGTGCCTCTAGTTGACAACATGCAATTAGGAGATCGACTCTAGAACGACTCTATTATGACTCCCCTTCGCTTCTGTTGGCATCCTGGCGAGCATGTCCGAGTCCTTGTTGCTAGGGCCCAAAAGCTGTCTGATATCCAGGCCCCAAGGAAAACCTATGCCACCTGAAAGCTATGGAAATATAGCAACGTGAAAGGGGACAACTTCCAGGCTTGCTTCATAAAATAGGGCTGAATAACTATTTTAGAGCGCCTCCCAACATGGCGCTGATGCCGTATTCATAATTAGCACAATTTTTGCAAGCCTTAAAATCCTAACCGTGTTGCTGCCAACAGTATGAAGCTTCAGGGACAGAATCTAAATTATCTTTATAATCATGCTTAGAGTCAAATCCCCCAAAGGGCGCGTAGAACCTGGAAGCTGAGGTTTTTGACAATTGAAGGAGCAGTCCAACACTTGAGACCGGATTCGCCTTCATACCACTCCGTTCTAAGTTCTGAAATTCACGACAATGCTTGCATTTTCGAGGATTGCATTAATTGGGAATACGCATGCTTTTAAGCTGTCAGGAACTCTTGAACAAGGACTTGTTCAATCTAGCCTTAAAGCATATTCACTCCGAAAAAAAGTTTCCACCGATTACTCATGTTTGCCTTTAACTTCATTTTTGTCGCCAAAATGCCCACGAACCTATTTCGAAACCTAATAGGTCAAAACTGCAGTTCGACAGAGAGGAGAAAAAACTTTTTATTAGAAAATCTAGGCGAACTCTAATGGTATTGCGAGGCCTATGCATATTATTATGAGGAAAGCTTCACCATCCGTTTTTAAATGAGCTTAAATCACCCAAATCAGCTTGATATAACAAAAGTCGTATTCGAAGGTATGAAGACCAAGATGGAGTGGCCTTTTTTGCTGTCGCATTGTTGTTTATGCAGGGAGGCTTCTAAAATCCAACCGAATGCTGAATTATTTGATATCATGACACTCGAACGTCAGCTGTGAACGCCTACCGATGCCTCGTCGACATTTTGGTATGCAGCTTCATAGTAAAGGGCAAGAATTCTAGTGAAGCTTACTTCGTTGAAGATGGAGAAATACGTCTGGCTAATTAAATTATGCAAAAGTCAATTATGCCATAGTTTAGTCGGGATTAAAGTATGAGGAACCACAATTGCAATCCAATATGGCTGCACTGTTGGAGCATACAAATACGATGGCCCGGCATTATGAAAGTAAACATGATATTTTTCAGCGCAAAAGCCCTATCAGAAGAATTTTACAAGAATCCAGTTTGCATGGTACCAGTGCGTGGTATAGTTTAGATTGCATATTTTTCACTTTGTCGCAACTCCTCTACACGGTAACTTTTACAGTTCTGGATTCGAAAAGAGGTTAATGAACACAGGAGTTAAGGTGCTCTGAGCGAAAACTGATGGTCTTGCAACAATGAAAGGTTGTGTGTTCAATGATATTCAGGCCCAGAGTGATCTAGACATAACAGCAGACACTTTGAAGTACCTACATACACACAGAAACAAGGCATTGCTGCTTCACTAAGATTGGTTTTCCCAGGCTGGCCTCAGCCATTGTGAAGCAGACTAGGCCAGGCCAAGGTTTGGATGGCTGCCACGAGGCCATCAGAATCGGCCACACTCAGCCGTTTGCTGAATCTATTAATCATATTTTTATCGTTATTCAGCTCAACTCGTCTTTTCCTCCCACAAAACTGTCTAAAAGTTCTCCAAAACACATGAAACAACCTAGCCTCTAACCAGTTGATGGTCATTTCGTACTTTGAACTATCATGAGACTGAAATGATAGCAATGAATTGACGTAACAAATGTGATGATGAATGAATGCTGAGACCGTAATTTAAAGAATACACTTAAACTTGTAGAATAGGTTTCCTGATGTTTACATCTTAATTTTGTGAACTTAAAGTCGTGAAGTGCCAGCTCCATTTTTTTCTTTGCAAGCAAGACTAGCGAGATTGATATTTCATCACGAATTGCGCCTTAGACGTAACTGTTTATCTTTATTTACATGTAATAATGTGTGCTTGTCCACTGCATGCCAAGTCACACTACACTAGTAGACAGACACTAGATTTTTTGGTAGGAAGGGCCGACGTTTGCCTTCCCTCCAACTTATCTGTCTTCTCAGCAAGGCAGTCAGCCATCCTGCTGTCATGTTTCTTACTTATGTACCATCTCTGTGCCAAAGCCTTTTCACCCGGTGCAGCGTGATAGGGTGACCGAGCTACCGGGACAACGGTACGAAATCCAATTTACACATGGCAGTGTTTTTCATGTTCCCGCTGCAGGAGGCCTGAGTTGAAAGGGGACGAGATGAAACGAGGCCACTTAGGCGAAGGACAAATGAGCATGCGCCAGAGAAGCACGTGAAGTTTGTGAGATTTTAGGACAACCTGATGCATGTATGTGTGAGTCTGTCATAGCTCAAGGTCAGCCGACCTTATAGAATCTTGGGGATGAATTTGTTGAAGGCGTCTGTTTAGGTAGCATAGAGGTTATTGCTAACGCCTATAGAGCAACATGACGACAGTGGAGTCGGTGTTTGAGAATGACAATAGGCTAAAGCTTTATTTCAATGAGCTCATGTAGATTGGGGAAATAATTCCTTAAAAAGGTTATACAAAGAGAACAACATTTTTTTCTTCTAGTTGGACAACTCTACAGTCACTAATAGAGTTAATTAAGATTATATATACTTCAAAATTACATGTGTATTTTTATATATACAGTCAATAAAATGGGACATTTTCAATTAATTCGGCTGTATCAGCTCTGCAACATAAGGTTGACTTACTTGAAATTACCCTTCAATTAAACAATTTTGGTCGAAGGTATAAAGACCAAGATGGTGCGGCCTTAAGTGTGATTGCAGTCTCTTGTCGTTGTATAGAAGTT